AAAAGATCTATGTTTTTCACAGGACTTTCATTCATTTTTTTTTTTTTTTTTTTTTTCTTTTTTCTTTTTGGTATAAAAGGGCTTACTGCCCACTACTAAGATATTTTGTATCCACACAAATTGAGAGCGAGTTCATCACCCAGTGGCTCTGTAAAACCATGCACTGTATAAGAGGTGATGTAATTCTACCCCTGGCCCAAGAAAACACGCCGAAACAGCAAAGCAGAGAATTAAGCAACTTTGGTGCGAGACTTCTGCCTGCCTCTCTCAAATTTTCCAGAACAGCTTTCGTAAAAATGGGCAGCTGTGACACCCCAGCCCCACGTTGCTGCCGTGTTGGGACAGTAGTGGGTCTCAGACATAATTGCCAGCTTTGTGCATGGTCCTCAGGACACGAAGGCACTGACCTTTCCCGATGAAAAGGTCCATTCAGTGTCGCGCAAAGCCTTGCATCCTGACTTCTTGTTGTTGTTCTCAGTGGGCATTCGGCGTGACCATGTGGGAAATAGCCACGCGGGGAATGACTCCCTACCCGGGCGTCCAGAACCACGAGATGTACGACTACCTGCTCCACGGCCACAGGCTGAAGCAGCCGGAGGACTGCCTGGATGAGCTGTGAGTGAGCATCGCTGTGTCGCTGGGCATTCTGCATGGGCGGCCGCTGACTGCGAAGACCTCTGAGGTGGCCCTTAAGCAGCTCAGGAAGTGCGTCCAGTCAGTAAATAGGTTTGGCTTCTAATGCATGAGGCACTGGCCGGATGCCCTACGTCCCTTGGGTACCTTTGCCCTACTCGCTATATATAGCACTTTAGATGCGCCGATCACACTCAGATCCTTCATCAGGAAGCCTGGAAACAGGGGCCAATGATTCCGAAATCAGGCTGGGCATCAGAATTGCTTGGCAAAAAGGGCTGGCCAGATAGCTGAGCAGATTAAAGCACCTGCTTAGGTAGATGCAGGGGCCAGAGGTTTGAACCTGGTGTGCCGCACCAGCCCCGCCCCGGGGGCCCACTGAGACTGGCCATGGTGGCACGCACACCTGTAATCCCAGCACTTGGGAGGCTGAAAAGCAGGAAGAATCACAAGTCTAATCTGTGTAGTGAGACCCTGTACACCCTGTACTAAATACTTAAAAAGAAAAAAGAAAAAAAGCATTGCTTGGCAATCTTTTGCTATCATTTTTTGTTGTTTTTTTTT